CAGGTTAGATAAATATACAAATTATTACAGATTGCTAATGGAGCCCGAAATCGAAAATTGTTCTCTGTTGATTTATTTTATTGTTTAAATGCATGATGGTATCTGGTCTTAGAGTTTTAAATGCATGTATTACTGTATTACTTGACCACTGTGTGATTTTGGGATTTAAGATATGATTGTATTACCGAGTACATGTTCATTGTTTATGTGATTGTGTTTAATTTGGTAACGAAGATTAAGAATAAATAGGAAATGGATGTGATCTAATAAACAGATAAGGCGACAGCCTCACTAAATATCTTGGGAGATGATGGACGGACCGGGTTCATAGGGAATCATACCGTGAATGTTGTCATATATCGGACGGGGTATGAAGACTTAGTCATTTGGTGCTCATACCGGACAGGGTATGGAGACGACCCACTTCACCCTCATACCGGACAGAGTATTGAGGTTTAATGTCTTGGCACTCATACCGGACAGAGTATGGGGAGGGTCCTGAAATTAAGATTGTTAATGGAAATGGTTCATGTATAACGGATACACTTCTATGGATCTCAATAGATACTAGTAGGCTGATAAAAAATGGTAATTGTTATTTGATGATTTGAATATAAAAGTATAATATGTGCTATGTTGCAGATTATATATGAAATCATGATATTTATAATGTTATTATTTCCATAGGTTGTTTTTATAAATCTCACTGCGGTAAGTGGACGGTAAATTGTTTAATTATTGATAAATGAATTTGTTTAAAATTTATGCTCTATTTTTTATTTTTTATTTTCTACCAACCTTTACTTCTGTGACGACAATATATTGTGATGTCCTTACTGGGCTAGTGTAGTTCACCCCTTATTTAACCATTTCAGATCAGGAGGATCCGGTTCCTGAGCCCGATCCGCAAGAAGACTACGAGTAGACCCTAAATACTTTATAGTTTCATTTATTTTTTTTCATTTTTTGTATTTCTTTTAGAAAATTTGTTCCGTGCTATTTGTTAGTACTTTTGAGTTATCGTGTGAAGAATGTTAACTTTAATCTTTATTTCACTTCCGCACTCAAACTATTATATGTATTTTCTTTTTTAATTTATGGAGTCGTTACATATCTAATATGATCCTTTTTCCTTTTCCAAAAGTTATATTTAGTTTACACTTAATTTAATATATACGTATATATATTATAATACATTTTTTCGTATATGGTGGTACTAATCTAATTACTAAGATGTAAATATTTAAAATTTTCAACTTATTCTCTGTATATGTTTAATTGTCAACTATTTCTGAATTTAATTTTTATTAGTTATTACTATTATTTTGTTGAACACTTTATTTTCTTTATAAGCTGATATTTTTTTCTTTCTCTTGAGTTATACTTAGTTTATATTTAATTAAATATATATATATATATCTTATGATACCGATTTTCATATTATGGTAGTAATAACTTAATTACTAAAATATAATTATTTGAATTCTTCAACTTCTTCTCTTTATATGTTTAATTACCAAGTATTTTTAAATTTAATTGTCATTAATTATTTTTTGTGTAAACACTAATTTTTTTCTTTACAAGAGAATATTTTTTCCTTTCCCTAGAATTATAATTAATTTAAAAAATATATATTCTCATTTTAATTGCTTGACTATTGATTTGCTTTAGTACATTTTAATTTCCTTTCTTTTATATTCTTCTCATTTCAGTCTTGATTTTATGGCAACCTTTTTTTTTTTTTTTTTGTAGTCGTCAATATTTAAAATGCCTTTAATTTTTGGCACAATTAAATAATGTAGCCAACAAAAATTTAAATATGAGACTTATTTGTTTAGGTCAATTAAATTCAATATTGACCCATTTTCCACACAGAAAAAAAAGTTCCCCCTCTCATTTATGAGATATTTATACTTATTTAAAATGTGTAAATTAATAGCATATTTAATTTTTATTTATTGTGGGGATAAATTTAATTTTTTATTTATAGAAATGAGAATTTGGTTTATATTTTCTTTTAAAAGAAAACAAAAATAAAATTTTAAAATTTGCCAGCAGATTGAACATATATATTTTATAACACTTTCCTTGACATATTTCACTTGTTAATATAATATTTTTAAAATTCTCTATACTAATATATATATTTTTTATTAATGGCCTTATTGTTGATGTTTATTTAACTAAGAGAAATGTAATGTTAGATGTAAAATGATATACGAGTGGTGTTGTAATTTATTGGAAAATTTGATGTGGATGAAGAGATTTTAAAGTGGTTTTAAATTTTATTACCACTTATTGTATAAAATAACTAGAGAAAGTTTTAAACTAAAAGGCTAATTTTTTCAAATAGTTATATAAAAAAATCTATTTTAATCTAATTTTCTCTTGATCGCGAGACAACGATAATTTAATTTCAAAATTCTATGTGGATGATATATTTATCAATATACGTTATTATTTAATTTTTTAACATTATTTAATATTTATATATTTTTAAAATTATAACAAAAAATATATTATATAATTTCTAAATAATATATGTACATATTTATTTATGTTCTTATAAATCACATTCTAAAATTTGAATTCTCTATAAATAATTTGTTCGATAATAAAAAATTAAAAGGTAAAGATTGAGAGAATTGTATCTCTAAGTGGTCTAAACTTCCAAGAATAATTTGAGCCTACTCCCATACCTAAAGATCCCACACGTAAAATAATTAAGAAAATAAAATAATATATATACATAATTAAAAGCTTAGCTTTTAAACTTTTCTACATTATATGGATATATATGCCGTTGCAAATTGCAATAGCTTTTAATTATTTACAACTTAATTTCCTACAACCATCACTAATATTATTGTTTAATGATATATATATGTGTCTATGTGTGTATATAAGCTTCACTTTTCCTCAAAAAAAAAAAAATAATAATAATAATTCAACACGAGATTACAAATAATTAATAATAAATTTATTATTTATTTATAAGCGGTAATAATTTATTGATATCTAAAAAATAATAAAAACTTTTAAATTTTTAAATATATTTCATAAATAAATTAAACAGTTTGAACAAAAATTTTAGAGAAAATATATTTTTATATTATTATAGCTATTTATTATCTTAAATATTACTCGTATATAAAATGATATATTAGCAAATTTTATTTTATGTTTGTAATAAGTTTTTATTAATTTATATATAGTAAATAAAAATAATAATATAAATTTATAACATACTCTAAACGTAATCAACTTATATGTAAGTTTTGATGAGATTAATTTTCTTAAATTTTATTGATATACAGTAATTTTTAAAAAATATAATTTTATAATATATGATGAGTATGAATTGTTTATATTTAAAATGTTATCTCTAACATGCCATTGATTAGTTAATAGAATTGGTAGGGAAATGCATTTGATTTTGAATCAAATGCTATCTCTAATATATCTATGTAAGATGAAATCAAAGTTGATTATTTAAAAAGTTATAACTTATTAAATTAAATTTAATTACAAACAATATTAAAATTAAAATAGGCTTGTTTCGAACAATTATCACACAATAGATTGAAGTACATGTAAGTGATCTTTATTGTCATGCTATATAATAGAAACAAAGATCACATAAACACATAGATTATAAAATGTAACTTTAAGTAATAAACATTGACATAATAGAGGTAATTAAAAAATAGTTTGACGTTTAATAAAAAATTTAACAATTGAATTTTATTCTTTAAACATCCTACTAGTAGATTTTATAGTAACACAATTAATCAAAGTGAACTAAATATCTTATAAGTTTTGAAAATCTATAACAAAATAAACTATAAACAATAAAATATCCGAAACAATTAATCCAAAATCATAATAAAGCATGAAAATTGCTGTAAAATATATAAATTGAAATATCAAAATATAAAATTACACTTTTAGTGATATGTAAAATACTATATATTAGTTATGTCCTTATTTTTTTTAACGATATAACGTTTATATAAGATGGTAATTTAAATGATGGAAAAGATAAAAGGACCAATTTAGAACAAACATAAAAAACAGGGTCCTTCATTTTAATAATTTCAAAAAGGAGGGACTATGCCTTAAATCTGAGCGAAAATGAGAGTGCAATTATGAAATTAGGCCTTTTTATATCGTGTTCGCCGCAACGCAGAAAAAATGTGTGCCCAACCGCACCAGAAATTATACGTGTCTTTGTCCCGTACCGTCGCTGGCCTCCTCCCCTCCTCGCTTGAAAAGCTCCAGCTAGGAGTCGACTGTAAAATTATCATAAGAATCTTATCGATTGAAGTCCACAATTAGGGTTTTCTACTTTAGGGAAAGGTCCGTCTTCTCTTCACATCTGTGTTGTTTATTCCCTAACATGACTCTATTTACGACGCTTCTTTTGGATTTTTCATTAATTTATTTGTTTTTCTATCGTTTATCCCTGGTTTATAGACCTAACATGTGCGGATTCAGGTTTCTGTTTGGTTTTTACCGAATGCATTTTTGGAAATTTGTATTTTCCCGGCTTTTGTGAGAGTTGAAAAAAGGTTTAGTTGAACTTGATAGAAATTTACTTTCACGGCCAAACGTCCACCAATATACATGCGGACATCTCTGTGATTTTATTTATTTGGTATGATATGGCTGCTTCGTGTTGGATTTTGCGGCAGTGGTTAAATTAATATATACGAGCCTTATCATGTTTTGGTTTCAAAGAAGTGAGTATATTCTTGATTTATTGAAACTTACAGTTGAAATTTACTTGTGGTGACCGGCCATTGAGTAAGTACGATTTGAGTTGAGATGCATTGGAGGAAAATGAAAGGGACTGCAGAAGACGGCCATTGGTGTAGGAGGGGAGGGGACTTATGTGATCTCAACAAGTTTTGAGACTTCTTTGAGGTTCGCGTTGTTGATGTCCTGAGATACCAAGGATTCATTTATTATAAGCTTAGGGATATTTTCCTGAAAATATCCTATTTACACAGAAGATTTTGGTTTTTTTCCTTCCTTTTTTTTTTCTTTTTCCCAAAATGGCAGCTAGTTTTCATTCTCCCCTCCTGAATATTGAAATATATGTTGAAGAGCTTTTATTTGTTTCTCTCGTTGCATCCTTTCTTTCTATTTCGTCTTTCCACTCTTTTGTGTGAAATGTACCTTGGTGTCAATTTATGTGCTTTGGAAGATCCATTAGAAATAATTCTATTGTTTTATGTTCATTTTTTTGTTGTTTCATCTGATCTTGGTATTTGCTAGTATTAGAAGTTTAATGAGGAATTCACAAGTCTTCTTTTTTGTTGCAGGTGTTGCTTGAAAAGTTAGGGTCACTTGTGCTGTTAAAGCTAATATAGCTATGATATTATACTTGACAATTGTCTAGCAAGAATGCCAGGCATACCCCTAGTGGCTCGTGAAACCTCCTCGTATGTTGTCTTTGAAACAATAATCTTCTTTTAGACTTATGCTCTTAACTAATATCTATCATGTTATCATAATAATAAAAAATAACTAATATCTATCATGTTACACTTGATAATTGACTAGCAAGAATTGCAGGTGTAGTCTAGTGGCTCACGAAGCCTCCTCAAAGTTATGTGTCGTCTTTGAGACAATAGTCTTCTTTTTAAAACTTTTTCTTATGTTGCATCAACATGCTTGAGTAACTTTACAATAGAGGTGCTCAATGACTTAATAACTTCCATTGTAAGTTGGTTTCATAATATGCCTTTAAATGTGATTGGTTGTTAGGTTCATAGTTGGAGAATAATGACTTTTGGTTGCCTTTCTTTAGTGTTGAGCCTATTAAAAACCACAGTTCAAACAAAAAATTTATTCTTAGTGGGAGCAACCACCTTCCAAAAACATTAGTTCTATGATAATTATTTGTTCCAAGCTTGTAGGAGGATTGTGCGTTATTCCTAGGGATGGATTTGATGTGTTTTTGTGCTATCATGTCCCATAGCTGTAATTTCTTTTGCACATTAACATGGCTCAGAGATTTTTTATGCTTTTTTATTTGACACTTTTGGTGTTTGTTGGGGTTTTCCTTTGAACCTCGGGAGTTTTATTACTTCTTTTCTTCATGATGGTGTTGGGAAGGAGAAAGAGAATAAACTGTTTTCTTTGGGGGGCGAGGGGGGAGTTGTTTGTTAGTTTTTAACTGTTGTGGCTGGAGAGGAATGCAACAAAGTTTAATGTATGACTTCTCTCTCAATTTGTTTAAGGAGCATGGTGTCTATCAAAATGTTTCTGTCTATTCTTGATGGAGATTGGCTTGTTCTATATTAATTGCCTTGTTGCCAAACGTTTCTCCTTTTCTGTTTTTTTCTTGGAGGACATCTAGTACTTTCTAATAATATATTTTTCTATAGAAAAGTCACTTTTAAATATCAAGTAATTAATTCCAATTATCTACCCATAGATTGAGGTGTTTACTGCAATTTTATATTTATTTTTGGTTAAAATTATCTTTATAATTTTCTGATTCCATTTTATGCTTTTTTGACTTTTAAAAGGAAGAATTTTGATTTACTTCTATGTCACCGAAATTGGAGTTCAACCTCAAGTTCTTGTTTTTCTCCATTATTCTCTATTTAATTTTCCTTTTTATGAAATAATTTGTCTTAGATTCTATAAAAATATATATCATCAAATATATTATCTTTAAAATATTCTGATAGTTTCATGTGAATACATGATGAAAAGCTTCAAGCTTTAGCAGTACTTGACATTTTCTCCATTCTTTCAGCATATTTCTTTTATTGGAAAGTTTATGCTGTGAGTTTCAGTATGATATAATTTAAATATTGTTGGCACCTCTTTTGTATTGCAGCTATTCCAGAAGCACAGATCAGATGTGCCGTGAGGACTCTCGTGTACATCTGTCTGCAGAAGAGAAAATTGCCGCTGAAGAGAGTCTCTCAATCTATTGCAAGCCTGTTGAGCTTTACAATATTCTACAACGACGTGCTATAAGAAATGTACTTAGTTTGACAGTATTGCCATGTTTTCTCTCCTCCAACTTTTAGTTCTTTTTGTCGATGATTTGGTTTGCTTGGCACAAAAAATGATCTTTTTGACTTGCATATGTTTATTTTTTGGAATGAGTTTTGATTGCACGAATGGAAGTGAGGGAGAGTAGCTATCTTTATTTTTTCTTTTTGGTAGAAAAAGAAATTATGTTAAGACACGATGAGAAAAGTACAAAAATTTGTAGATAAGTTATTCAGCTGAGAAAGAGAAAATGTTTGAGATTTTATCACGCTATGTTCTAAGCTTTTGATCCTCTGATAATTAGCTTGAGATTTGGTGTCTTCTTATTATTTTTCATATTTATGACTAAATATGTTCTTATGTAGCCAATATTTCTTCAAAGATGTTTGCACTACAAGATTCAGGGAAAGCACAAAAGGAGGTAATTATCTTTTCTTTACATTGTTCCTTGAAGATGATTTCTCATGTAATTATTGGATCTCTGTCCATGTATTCGGATCAGTTGTGTAATTTAGAAGCTAGACAAGATCTCTAGATATCATTTGGTAAAATGAATGAAAAGAACATGATAGAACTAAATAAGATAGTAATAGGACAAGGCTAGGTATAATAATGTGCTTTGTAGATATAGGACTGGATATGACAACTTTTTTCTTTTAATATTTGGTAAAATAAACAATATAAAATGCAATGTTTGGTTACTAAAAATGCCCTTTGTACGGTTTTATGTTTAGTTTTTAATTTTTTAGATATAGGAAAATATCTTTTGCATTTATATATATTTAGTTGTAATAATGACTATATAAAGTTTAGTAGCTACTAATTATAGAGATAGATTATAATGAACTAAGAATGCTTTTGCTAGGGTTTTATTTCCTGTTATCTTTCTGTCTTTGTTCTATTGGTTATTATCTTGTCTAACCTATCTTGTTCGTTCTACTTCTCCCTGTATTTCTTTGTCATTATCTTCCAATATTTCCTGGTCTATCTTTATATTTCTGTTTCTGCTCTAAAATTTTTGTTTTCCTAAATTATTCCTGTAACAAGTTAGTTTAACTACTATTAATCTGGTTTAAGTTGGTACTAAGACCTACTTGCTACTCCCACTTTCTACTAAAAAACTAAAAAATAAAACTCTAATCCTGTCTTGTGAGACTTTTCTGGAAAAACAAAAAAAAAAAGGAAAGAGAATTGGAAAAAAAACCCCAAAATAGCCGGACAATTTGCAACCTTTTAGTTCATTAAGCGGTGACCTACACAATTATCATCAGCACCATTCGGCTTAGAGAGCACCAATTGGCTAATATATGAGCAAGATGACTGGAACGCGGAGATTGTGTCAGTCACTGTGAAATAGAGACCATAGCTGCGTCTGTCATATTCTGTCATCCCAGCCCATGCAAGAAAGAAGACAGACAACCCATAACCCTGTTGTCAGACAATCCATCCATCAGAAGATTGGTCCTCATGGGTGACTGGAAGCCGGTGCATGGTTCTCGCGCACCCTGACCCCCGATTGGGCATTTTCTCAGGTTGCTCTGTTTTGATTGGTTCACTAAAATTTGCACCAGGCATTCTCCTAGACCGGTTGGTCTTGTTCAGACTGTTTTAGACCAGTTCTCTACAACTTCAAGTTGATTCTTCTTTTTTTTTTTGATGAAACTTAAAGCTAATTCTTGAACTTCTACAGCTGGCTCCATATGTTTGAGTTTAGTCTGATAGAGTTGCACCCGGTACCTTTTAAAGCTGCTTGTGTTTGACGGTGTACAGTAACATGGAATCAAACAGAATTTGGGCTATGATCCTTCGTATAATTTATTCGATTACATGTAGTGTGTTGTACCTAGTTTTCTGTTCTTAGGGATGCATAGAGAGTATTGAGATACATTTATAATTAATTTATATACAATATAAATGTGTTGAAGATTACACTTTTTATTTCAAAAAAATTGTGTTTAAGATGCTGTCTAAGCTAAAAAGTTCTTTTGATGGCCTTTTCGTAAATGATTACTGTTGTCATTTTAATATTGAGTAGAAATACTTCTATTTGGAATTTTAAGAAAGCATAAAAGCATGGAATTTTGCAAGAAGTCAAAATTGAGCTCAAGAGTAAAACTAATATTTCTTTTATTTTCTCTTTTCTTTTAAAAAAAAATTTTCTTGTGTTAGAAGATGAAAAACTTAAAGCTTAGTGTGAAAATTAGTAGTAGCTAAAGAAATATTTGCTCCTGTTGGAATTGTTTCTGTCCATCCTAATGATGTTGAGGAACTTATTCTTTTCAATTATCTTGTTCTACGTTATACTTTGGTTCTTTTCAATGAAAAGCGATTCTCTATGCCTGTCAAAAATCCATTTTGATCATGGCCTCCAACAAATCCATTTTGATTGAAGTGGTTCCTATTCATGATGGCCACATTAAACAACTCTTTTGGCACGATTTCATCTACCTCTTTGGTTCTTTTTTTCTTTTTGAAATAAATAGAGAAAAATTTTATTAACAACGACACCTATCGGGTACTAAACTGTATACAAAGAGGTACCCGATTGGTGTCGTTGTTTTCTTAATCCTCCATAGAGTACAGAGCATGACCCCATAACAAAAAGTCCAAGGGTTTAGAATCATCTGTTTCTAATTAAGTTAAAACCATTATTTTCATTTACACCTTCAGAGCTCTTGTATTTCTCTTCTTCCTAATTGTCCAAAAAATGGCAATTGGGGTAAGATTCGCGTGTTTCCTCCACCCATTGATACCATTTCATGTTTATAACTCATCTCTAACCGATCTCGCCATCACCTACTTTATGCCTAATAAACCATAGACCATAGTTCATAGCTTGTACATCTTTGGGCCCCATAGAAGTAGATAGTTGCAAGTCTTCGTAGCCTCTTATAGAAATATCATCTATTCACCATAATCTTATCCTGCTTCATCAACTTATCAATGGTAAGAATATACTCCTTGTTAACCTCTTAAGCAAAAGAAGACACTTCAGGAGGAACTTTCACCTTGCATATTTGTCTAAATGGAAATCTAGTGCCATTATCTTCTTGCTTGGTCAAATACTAACAGAAAGATTTGACCGAAAGAGACTTGTTCATAGTCAGACACCATGCAGGGTTATCATTGCTACCATCCAAGGACACAAGAGATAAGGTGCTGAGAAGTTTCTCATACTCATTCATCTCCCGTCATTGAGGTTTCTTGTTACAATAATCTGCCACCCTCTCTCCTACCCTAAGATCCATGGATGGATCACTGACTAGGGATGTCTTTCTGTTGTGCAATGACAAAGATCTGAGGATATTGATCTCTCAAGGTTCCACCGTTCAACCACGGGTCTTGCCACAAGCTAACTTTGTCACTCTTATTGACTTTCCATTGAATGCACAACTAGAACTTGTCACAACCCACGCCATTTTTTTATAACCCTTTACCATGCAGTCTCGTCACAGGTCTCGTGTATTAACCTCTCTCTATTGTGCCAAATTTTGCTTTTATCACCCTTCTCCATGATGTTCATTCTTCATTCATAAACCTCCATAGCCATTTACTTTGTAATGCTTCATTCATCTCTACAAGAGA